GGGGGAGGCGATCACTGGAGGAGGAGGACGCTTGAGGGAGGGGTTGACAAGCTGGTAGAGACCCGATCGTGTCGTCAGGTCATGGGGAAGCATCCAGGTGACCTGGAGAGGATGAGGATAAGCTTGTGTCCATCACGTTGTCAGACATTTTTCTCTAATCTTCACATCAACTCGAGAGATGGTCTCATTTCCGGTTTACAGATGGGAAGGCTGTGTAAGAACAAATAGAAATTAAAAATATGAGGCTTAGGGCTTCCCTGGTGGCGCAGTGGTTGGGAGTCTGCCTGCCGATGAGGGGAACGCGGGTTCGTGTCCCGGTCCGAGAGGATCCCACATGCCGCGGAGCGGCTGGGCCCGTGAGCCATGGCCGCTGAGCCTGCGCGTCCGGAGCCTGTGCTCTGCAATGGGAGTGGCCACAACAGCGAGAGGCCCGTGTACCGCCCAAAAAAAAAAATACTCTTTCCCTTCCTTTTCCTTAGAACCTTTATTTTAGAAAACTTGGGTAAAAGTGTAAGCACTTTCTCCTCTCTTGGAAATGTATATAAATCCTTTTGAAAACTCAACTTTAAGACCCAGGAAAGCCTTTCTCAAGGACCTGAGACCTATTCTTTGAAATGTAAGCACCTAGTATCACCCCTCCCGGTTTCTGTGGAAGGACAGAACCTAAATTCAGTGGGCACGCGCTCCAGGGTACAAATCGACCTCCTCTTGTAAAAGTTAAACGTTTGTTTTTCTTCTGGATGAAACCAGTTAGCTAACAGGTGGTCACTTCGATTACCAGGTAAAGTCAGGACAAACTACGTGTGATAGACGGTTCTGTCAAGGCTTCTTACCGGAGGACTAGTTATTATTTATCTTGAAAATAAGTCTATGTAATTGGTGGTATCTGCGGGGCTGTATATGAAAGGGTGAGATTTCTTTCTGTTTTTGCAATCTTTTAGTGGATTGCTTATGACATGCACCACATTCTGTTTTAATGCTTATTCAATGATAACATTGTTTTCCTTCTCTATTCCCTTCATGGACAGATTTTCTGGATTGGGAGATTCTAATTGTATTTCCCCAACAGCTGAAACCCAATGAGGGATTCACATTTCTACCAGTTACACAGAAAGTGCTCTGGCAAATGACTGATCTGTTATGCACATTATTTCCCTTTTTGGTTTGTTATGAGGATTAAATTAGTTCACGTAGGTCCAATGTTTACTGCACTGGACAGCATAGTAATGTTCCTTCTCTTAACCCTTAGGCCTAGATTTTGTTAATATCAAGCAAGCCACGCTCGCCCCCTAGTGGTCAACACGTGACTTGCAGGCACTTCTGTGAGGTTAAACTTTCATCTAAGTTCATTCTGTTCATACTTTCCAACACTTGCAAAAACACGATATTGTTGAAAGTGAGGATCCGTTTTTCTCCTCCCTTAATTAAAAGCACTTCATCATCCCTCATGACCTTTAATAATACTACCTTCTCTTGGTGCCCTCAGCACAGCCTCTGACCTCTGACTAACTCTTGGGTGGGGAATTTAATTTTGCTTCTAGGCACCATGAGAGGTCCCATCCTCCGAAGAGGTGAGTGTGTGTTTGCTGGGATGGGGGGTGGGGTCCTAATGGCACACGTACGTCTGGAGAGCAGGGCGGATGGCCCCTGCCTTTGCCACCGCTGCCCCGGGGCCTGGCCCTAGTTTCTGTGAAATGGGAGGGGTCCTAGGAGGTGGAGGGATGGACCAGGATGGGGGCAGGAAGAGGTTAAATGAGAGGGAGGTGGTGGTAGGAGGGCAGGACCCTCCAAATATCTCAAAAGTAAACTGAGGATGAGGAAAGAGATGATTACTCGTATTACTTGTGACTCTCTGTCCAAGAAGAATATAGGAACCCCTTTGGCAAGGTGAGTGTTTATGAAGAGCGAACCTGGGGTTTCCTGGGTGGAAAACCATAAGACTGATTTCCCAACTTGGAGATGACCGTGAAAACTGAGCTGACTCAGAAAACTGAGTCCTACTTCCATGAAACAAACATTTGTTGAGGACTTATTGTAGCTGTTTTGTTTTTTTTTTTTTGAGTATA